ATTGACATTTTTCATTTGGCAATGAGTACATGAAAAATTATGTACTACTTGGTAATTGAAATCGTAAATAAGTTCAAGAAAGTACGAATAGTTTTGTCATGAGACGAAATAATATATTATATTATACTTTCATGTAAATAAGTTGAATCTGATTGGTCGAAAAACATTTGTTAAAAAACACTATTACCCGCTGAATAATGAAACCACGCCCTTCAGCGTAGCAACAGTCAACAGTGCTTGACAACGGGTGATATTCCAAAAATTAGCGACTGCGCAGAATTTATGCGCGCACGGTTCATTGTTATATGTATTTGTATAAAACATTTAGTATAATGTAATAAATATTGCATGTAGTTGAGTGTAACATTACTGCGCCTCGGTTGACAGTGGTTTTCTTGGGGTGAAAATTTTCAATGTTACACTCAACTACATGCCATTTAAGGAATGACTCTAATTCTTGGCCAGATTATCGAGTATAATATGGTTTGGGTCAGTTTACGCTTTATAATCCGCGAAGCGGATTATAAAAAAGCTTAAACTGACCCAAACCATATTATACTCGATAATCTGGCCAAGAATTAGAGTCATTCCTTATAATTTAATTTTAAAATAATTAAACAACTGGGGATGTAAAATTGTGTTGTTTTTATTAGTTCAAATTTACCGCGCAATAATACAACCGTAGTAACGGAAGTGATGGGAAGCAAGGGGAGGTAAAAACTGATACATAGATATAGCAGCCATGATGCTTGTTTACATGAGGTAAGATCGAGCAACTGTTTGAAGTTAAAGGTACATTCATTAAATCTGGAATTTTTCATGAATCAGAAGGACTGGAAATGAGGGGATTGATGGATACAGATGATTCAGCTGGTTGTCAAGGGGGTGTGTCCCCATACCAAACCAGATTATACAAAATGTTATGCGTTCCTTTTTGGAAATCAACCAATGAGAGACAAGAATACACACAGAATTAAATTATATTTATATAATGCGGAATGATATAAAAGATGAAATAATTTACGCTTCCATATCCCGGATATTCAATCAAACAAAATAAAAATATTCGAAAACTATTAATTGATCAGTGGTTTAATTTTTTAAAAATCAAACTCTGAAACAAAGAAAACTTAAAAAATAGAACATCCATTGAAAGCTGAACACTCTGATGAAAGACAGCATAAAAATAAAACATCCAGAGAATTTAATTAATGTATTCAAGCTTACGATAATGTTGTTCTCAACACGGACTTTTGTTCGGAGGGGAATCAGAGAGTGGGATCCAATGGCTAATGGCAGGCAACATGACTCCCCAAGCTTATTAGAAAGGTAACAGGTATAGCAAGGCATACACCAAAACACAGCACAACCTGCCAAGGTCAAAGGTATAAATATTAAGCAGTCTGTTACTTGTACAGTAGATCGGGCATCGAATGACCTTTTTCCCCTCCTAGATGTCATTTGTGTAGATTTTTGTGGAAAATCAATTAAAACAAATTATTCTTCATAAGACTGATTATAAAAATTGCTTTATGGTATTTTTTGTGATTACTCTGTTATTTTGTTCACATTCTTCCTTACTATTCTCTTCTATAAATAATTTTACTGCTGTCTGCTTCTCTTTGAAAAAAGGTCTACCATTCAATCGTTAATAATACATTTACTGGTATGCCATGGCCGTAGGAACGGGAGAGGGGGGCATGCCAATAATATTGCTGATATATAAAATACTTTCGAAAGATAGCTACTACTGAGTATATGCTTGTTTCCTGCACTCAATAAAAACGTCTGATGACCTTTTTTGCTTGTCAAGGAATTTTTGGTAGTTGATGGTAACCCAACCCGAAAAATGTATGGCTGAACCCCCCCCCCCCTTCCCCAACTAAAATTACTGGTACTTCCAAAGAGCATGTACAGTAAAACTCGGTTATAGCGAAGTCCTTGGGACCTGTGAATTTAATTCGCTATATCCGTAATTCGTTATATCCGTATATCGAATTTGTATAACCATTATAGCGAATTCGCAATATGCATGTTTTCCTTCCATTACTACTCCCAAATATGTTAGGGAAGCAAATATTACAAAACATATCTTCAATAACTAAGGTTTTATTATAAATTGAATTTTATATAGAAATGCTGACACGAAAGAAAGTCAGTTCAATTTATCAATCTTTTTTATAATCTTTGAAAGTTCATTATAAAAGATGTAAATTTTATTATATTTAACCTCAACGGAACACAAAATCAGTTCGCTATATCCGTAAATTCGTTATATCAGAGTTCGTTATAACCGTAAAATTCTACAAAGATTTGTTAAGAATTTTGCCGGGGACCCAAAATAACTTCGCTATATCCGTGAATTCGCTGACGCTATATCCGTGTTCGTACTAAACGAGTTTTACTGTATACCCTTTTGTAGATCCGCCGAAATATTGCTGAAATATTGCCGATTCGGCAATGCAGTGCAGTACATACTTACATGATGTCATATCCTCGAAACAGCCACAGAGACCCGAGTTCCAGTCCCAGCTCATCTGAGGTCGAGTTAGGACCTGTTGTTGCTGAACAACCACAGTGGTGTTGCTAGAATGCTAAGCAAGAAATCTTTCTGTAAATGTTAAATTCCCTTCTTCTTAACAACTTGCTTAGCCAGCGCTCTTTATTTTCTTTTGATAGTAGATAATTTGCAAGATGAAGTAAACTTTTTAGATTGTATTTATGCGGAACAAACCGTATTTTAATTATATTTTCTCTGTATATACATGTAAATCTCATTTAAATGACAGATAACTCACATATCCAAATGGCTGCTCCACGCCCGGCTGAACTGTTACCGGTCCAGGTTGCTCTGAGTAGTGATAGGGAGTGTACCCCGGGGGATCGGGTTCCTCATCGAAAGGTGGAACATTTTGTTGGGATCCAAGCAGATACCCCGCCTTCCCTTGAAATAAAATAAAAATAATGATTAATTGTTCTCCGATTTCGCGAAAGCTAGGATATTAAATCTCATTCCTCTGTCCGTCCGTCAGTCAGTAGCTGTCCGTCTGTCACAAAAACTTTAATCTTGGTCATAACTTCTTGGTCATAACTTTTGATTGAGAAGAGATTACACTTTCATATTATACATGTGTATCACCTGTGACATGACCTTTCTAAATATGTTATGATTTTTTACCCTATGACCTTTACTTCGAAGTTTGACCTAGTGATGGAACGATTGTCGCCGACAATCTTGGTCATAACTTTTGATTTTAATTTTATTACCAAATACCAAAGTGCAAATAGAAGAGATTACACTTGGTCATAGCTTTTTCCCATTCTGTTTCAATAGTTCTATATTGTTTAAAGTAACAAGAGATTTCACTTTTTGAATATTTTATGTACATGTGTATCACCTGTGACATGACCTTTCTAAATATGTTATGATTTTTTACCCTATGACCTTTACTTCGAAGTTTGACTTTGACCTACTAGTACTTTTCGAAAATTTTAACATTACGTTGAATTGGCAATTACTATTGAAAAAAAGGTAGGGGTTTCATATTGCACATGTATATTACATGTGACAAGGCCTTTCTAAATACTCAGTGATTTTTACCCCTTGACCTTGAGGTTTGACCTACTTTTCAGAAATGCTATTTTTCCTTATTACGTTTGATAGAGAAGAGATAGGGTTTTCATATGATATGTGCATCGCCAGTATTAAGATATTTCCGAGCATGCTTATTGCTAACATTTTTAGGTCACCTGAGTAAACTCAGGTGACCTATTGCTATCTGTTTTTGTGTGTCGTCGTGCGTCGTGCGTTGTGCGTCGTGCGTTAACATTTGAACATTTTCAGCTTCTTCTCTGCAACTACTGAACCAATTTCAACCAAATTTGGCACAAAGCATTTATGGGTGAAGGAGAACAAAAATTGTGAATTTCATGATCCCTGCCCCCCTGGGGCCTGAGAGGTGGGGCCAAAACCACTAAAATTAATGCAATCTTTAAAAATCTTCTTCTTTACTGACATCAAGCAGATAAATTGTTTGCATGATTGTAATCAGCACCGAGTCCTCTACCAAAATTGTGAAATTCATGGCCCTGGGTTCAGGGGTTCTAGTGCTAGGGCGGGGCTAAATAAGTATATAGTGAAAATGCATTATTTCTTTGAAAATCTTCTTCTCTGCTCCTGGTTATCAAATAAACAAACTACATACATACTTATGATGAGCAAGAGTGCCTCTACCCAAATTGTGAATTTTATGGCCCCAGGGTCAGGGGTTCTGGTGTTAGGGCGGGGCTCTATTGATTATATAAGGAAAATACATAAATTCTTTAAAAATCTTCTTCTCTGCTCCTGGGTATTAAATAGATTGACTAAGTGCATAGTTATCATGAGCAAGAGTGCCTCTACCACAATTGTGAATTTTAGGGCCCCGGGGTCAGGGGTTCTGGTGTTAGGGCGGGGCTCTATTGATTATATAGTGAAAATACATGAAAATCTTCTTCTCTGCGCCTGGGTATCAAATAGATTAAATAAGTGCATAGTTTTGATGAGCATGAGTGTCTCTACCAAAATTGTGAAATTCATGGCCCTGGGGTCAGGGGTTCTTGTGTTAGGGGGGGGGGGGCTCTATTGATTATATAGTGAAAATACATGAACTCTTTGAAAGTCTTCTTCTCTGCTCCTAGGTATTAAATAAACTAACTAAGTACACAGTGATGATGAGCAAGAGTGCCTCTTCCAAAATTGTGAATTTTAGGGCCCCAGTGTCAGGGATTCTGGTGTTAAGGGGGGGGGGGGCTCTATTAATTATAGTGAAAATTCATGAATTCTTTGAAAATAAACTTCTCTGCTCCTGGGTATTAAGCAGTTGAACTACCTATATAGTTATGAACAAGGACCCTAGTCTTCCAGAATTGTGAATTTCAAGGCCCCAGGGTCAGGGGTACTATAGAGGGGGGGGGGCTGTACTTATAGACTGAAAATGAATGAATTGTTTGAAATCTGCTCCTTGGTATTAATCAAATATTTTTGAAAAGCAAGGATGCCTTTTGAAAATTTGTGCAATGTGTGGATCTAGGCCTAAAGGTCAGCCCGGGTCCATGTGTGGTAGGGGACTACTGATTATTGCTGAATATTACTGATTAGTTGAAATGCATTTTTTGTTCCTCTGCCTTGCCTATGGGTATTAAGTAACCAAACTAAGCAACTTCTAAGTGTATAGTTATGATGATCAATGATGCCTCTTTCAAAATTGTGAATGCCATAGCATCTGGCTTAAAACATGAATCAAATTCAATCACTGGAAAGTTGTTGCATAATGCTCAGGTGACCTATAAGGCCCATGGGCCTCTTGTTGACATTGGCCTTCCTGTGTCACCTATTTTAAAAAAAAATAAATTTTGTGATTACTTTTTCAATATGTTTAACAGTATATTAATAAAAAAAAAACTGCACTGTATATTATGACACAAATATGCCATAGCATTACACCCGTCTCCTAAAGCGGATACACATAGGCCTACATGTAAATTTGCTTGTTTACACACGTAATAACTGTAATTAAAATCCATAACAAGCAAATGATATTGCCTACTTTTTTCTAGTGATTTTTTATTATAATAATATAAAAATATATAAAATCAATTCTGATTAATAAAAATTATACAATCCCTGTTGAACTTTATATATATTTAAAACAATACATTTGCATCTGCAACAACTTGTGTTTAAAATGGCCTTGAAAATCTCCATCCGCCATTACGAATGTAAACATGGAAAACCTTTTTTGTTTTGAAAATAACTGAAATATACTAATATATTTGTCGCAGAAATTACTTACATTATTCAAGTTCTATATATAATGGTATGCTGAACCTAACAGGAAGATCTCCAACAATGAGTGCTTTTTGCCACACATACCCTACAGTTTACGAAGTGTACACACGAAGGCCACCGTCATTTAATAATTACACACACAGAATGATTAATTTTTTCTTTAAGAACAAATTGTATGATAATTAACGGACTATAAACATGTACAATACAATTGTTGATATAGTATTATCAATTCATTGGTGAAAAGATATGAAAAGAATGACCTAATTATTCTCTGTTATCAAACACGTAAAAAAAAAAAAAGGCTGAGATGGCGCAGTGGTAGGAATATTGATATTTTTATTTGCATTTGTAAAGTGAACTGAATGATATTTTGACGTTATTTTTGATTTCTTTAACGTATGACATGCACAACTTTACTTTTATCATGAACAATAATGTTGTATCTACTTATCATGATGGAATTATTTTGGTCGGACCAATATGTGTGAGCTGCCGCTGAATACAGTTATATATCTTGCAAAGATAGTATGCATTGATCGAATATATAGAAAAAAAATAAATTTTGTGATTACTTTTTCATAACGTATATTAATAGTGCGTGTATATTTGACACAATATGCCATAAGGCACCGAAAGCGGATAACCGCAATTCTTTAAATTTGCTTGTTTAACTAATAACTAGTAATTAAAATCCATAACAAGCAAATGGTATTGAACTTTTTTCTAGTGATTTTTTATTATTATAATATAAAAATATATTTGAAAATCAATTTTACATTTCCGAATATATTTAAAACAATAGAAATACAGTGTAGTTAGGCAATTCAGAATAACCTTGCAAATACAGACCTGATTCTCCATCCGCCATTACGAATGTACAAGTGATGTTTTGTTTGAATATTTTGTTTTCCCTTGTTTCTGTGTTTAAAGTTGAACCTACAGGAAGATTAACAAGATGCTTTACAAAAGGAAAGGGTAAAGAATCACGTTTTAAACTTAAATGGACTTTGTTCTGCATTCATAAAAGGTCTCAAACACAAACCAAACGTTCAGCGAGGAAGTAAAAGCTATGAAAATGAGCTGTGATTACATCTTACCGAAAGAAGATGGCGCAGTGGTTAGAGCGTTTGCTCTAGAGTCGCTGTAAGGAATTGATCATTACCTCGCGGGTTCGAATCCCACTGTGGGACGTGGAGACCGGTCCTCCGGATAAGACCGTGTAACCGAGGTCCCGTGTCGCACTAGGTGCTGGCACAAAAAAGATCCCTCACTGCTCTATGGTCCTGAGTTCTGAGCATAGGTTAAAATCTGCAGCTTTCACCGGCAAGTGGTGGCGTCTCCATATGATTGAAAAATTCTCGAGAGGGACGTTTAACAAAAACAAGCAAAATCGAATGAAGAAATAAATGCATCGAATGAAAGACAGGTAATATCTCATAACTTTTTATCAATACATTTCCGATTAGTTTACACTTAAATGATGAAGCCACGATGATGTTGTATTTGTAGTTAAGGACGCTCTAAAAACTAACAGAAACTGCTTTTTGGACTTAGAGAAAAATATATCATATGAAAAAATTTAAAGGTGTGCATATTCATATTGAGACTTTTTCATTCATTTATAAATCCTTTTTCCGCAGGAAAATGTTCAGAGATAGCGGACTATTTGTGAGCAGAAATCACTGTCATTTACTTATATTAGGAAAATTGATTTAACTTAGAATTCAATTACTTGTTCTTGATATATAATGCTAAAAAATATTTTAATCTGTTACAAATCGTGTAATTAACTTTATAAATAACTTTTTTTTTCAATCTGACTTCTAAGGGCAGCTCACGCTTATTGCTACTTAGATATATGTGTAAACAGTGGCGGATTTAAGGGGGGCGCACCCGGTGCGCGCCCCCCTAAAATTGTCAAAGTTAACGTAAATCACAGTTTCGTCTAAAAAATGTATATATTTCTACTTGGTAGACCTCATTTTTACCCTACAAAATCTCTAGAATCCAGGAGCTTCCGGGGGCTTCACCCCCTGAGACCCCACCTGGACCCACTTGGGGCCTCAAGGCGGCCCCCAGACCCCTTGCCTATTTTTTGCGCCCCCTCTAACTTCAATTCCTGGATCCGCGCCTGGTAAATTTGCTTTTCTTCTGTAGAAGACACGGTTGCTTTCAAATTTGGTGAGTGATTCGGAAGGGTTTACATCATTCATTAGTGAATCTTAAAACAGGTTGGGAACACATCCCCTTTAGCGAGATCATCTCGCTAAAGCGCGATTATCCCTCTGTAGCGGGAGAAAATACATCTCGGAAAACCGAGATTTGTACACTGATTCAAACTGTAATCGTGTTAACTTCTGAAAAAGGAAAATCCGGGAGTATGTTAACCCATTCGATAAATATTTATTGTCTCATCTCAATAAATTTGCTTCAAGATATTGCCTCTACTGCTGCAAATCATGGAAATTAGAATAAGTTTATGAACAATAGCGTAGCCTTCCTACGGAGGACCACATGTGATAATTATCAGTACAACTAAACTTACCTCGGGTATACGGTTATTGTAATTGCATGTTTACCTTTTTTTTTTAAAACGCCTGCTTGAAAAGCGGGAGTATATACAGCAGGACATAGTGATGGGGTGTCTGTCACTTTGGACTTTCCATAGGGCATGACGATCTCTAGACGAAGTCTGTTTGGTGACCTATAAATTCTCAAATCGCCTGATTGACTGATATAAAGTCCCACCTTCTTACTGTAAGAAGCGCACTCATTGGTTCTTTGCTACACTCGTCAGAGTTTCCAGGATCTTCTAACAGATACATGTATATTAATTTTTTCTGTATATTTTACCCGTGTCAGTTTTAAATTCTAGTCCTACGTAAATTACCGGTAATCAACCCTAAAAATTATTTTATCCTATACTATTGCACTTTCGTATTGGAAACGTGATACTTTAGACGGCTAGAGATAGTACATTAGATGGACGGATAGGTGGGGGAGGGGTACTAGAAACAAATACAGTAGCTAGGTTGTGCATGGTAAAAGCTATCGACATAACCACTTTTAAATCTTTACCATTTTAATTGAAAGTCTTATCGGTGATCAATTAAGACTAGATCTTCTAATAAGGAAGCTATTAAAGGTGACAATAGCCTCTCTTATTAAGTAAATAAAACAATTACAAGGTATAATAAAATGTAAAATTCGAAGTATTCCATGCAATGTTCGTAGATATTCTTTCAAAATAAAGAATGTCTTTACCAGTATTCACCTGCCGCCAAAATACGGCTGAAATTTTGCCGACTCGGCATTTAACAATAACAATCAACACTTTTAGCTTTTTTTTTATTTATTTGATTTTTGGGGGCAGATTTTTCAGAAGCCCCCCCCCCCTTTTTTTTAAAATATAAAAATGCCACCTGGTCTGTGTGCTTTCATGTAGCCTATGTTTTGGAAAGTACTAGTATCTGATTTCCTTTTAAAATTTACACATTTTAACTTATGCAGGATCCCAACATATGTTTCCAACGCAATTAAAGTGTCCTCAAACGAAGAACTGTTCATTGCCACGGGGTAAAAACATTAAGAATTTATGTCATTAAAATACAAATACCTAGGGAATATTATACTTCTTTAATTATAATTAACAACACGTAAGTAGCAGCAATTTCAACAATGCAATTTCGCATTTTCGTTTAGTTAATAAATTTAATTCAAGGTAACATGTTTACACTTTCAACAGGCACGTTTCTGTGTTATTGAAAAGAAGGGTAAGTGGTAACTGAAAAAAAGTTCGAAGCTAAGCCCCCCCCCTACCCGCATGAAATAGGATTTTCAGGTTTGGACAATGGTCAAATTCTCCTCTTTTGTCAAGTTTTTTTCAGGTTGATTTTTTTCTCTTTGAATTAGCCATCCCCCCCCTTTTCCAATTTGCTTCCAACGCCGCTGAATCATGCTTTCCTGAATTAACAAGTTTACCATGCATCAACATTTGTACTAAGTCAATATCGGTAAGACTAAATATACGGTAAACCTTTTTTTATTAATTTGTTTTCAATATTAATGGTTTACCCATATTCTATACACATCTCAGTTTATACTTGCTTTTTAATCATGACTTTTCCACAAACGTTACAACCCTGTTGCGCTTCCGTACTTCTTCGCGTCAACCAAAGATCAAATATTTAAGCAAATATCATGGGTTTCTAAAGAATATTATTTTTAACTTTTGTACAAGAATGGAAAGCTAAGACCCTAAAGAATATAATTTGGATATCTATACATATTTTATATGCTTCAAAAACATATATGACTGTAAATCTTGAAACCTTCGCTAAAAAGGCACGATTTACACGTGGATTTTAGCATCTTATTCTCACACGCAGCAGTGATTGTCTTAAGTTTCTGGCCAATTTTGTCAGTTTTTTGTAGTAAATTCACGCTTCAATACAGCTTTCTCCCGGATTTTCAATACGCACGAGATTTTTGATTATTTTATAACGAAAACAACAAAATTCCCGTTTATGGTAATGTTTTTTCTTCCGCTAAAGAGGGATAATCACGCTTTAGCGAGATGATCTCGCTAAAGGGGATGTGTTCCCAACCTGTTTAATAAAAAAAAAGTATTGAGGTTACACCATCTCTAAAATTTCCACCGGTTACTTAGTGTATATATTAATGTTGTGGTAGTATCAGTCATTTATCAATTATTTTCATTACATTATTTATTTAACTTTAGGTTTACTTACTTCTTAACGTAATTTCTTTATCTTCGTATTCGATTTGTTTATTCGAGAAACCGGAAGAGAGTTAACTTTTTATTGAGACTTTTCATTGGTTACTTCTAAATTTATTATCAAATCACATTACGGCTAACCTTTGCTTTCATTCTATTGTTAAGAACAGTATTTAAACCCGAGCACAGCCGTGCTCTGGACTTCTACTGAGCCAACTTTGCATCAAGGTAATTATCAGGAGTTGTCTTACCCAATTTTCCCTTACTAAATTTTGTTTTTCTCTCATCCAGTTCTTTATTTTTTTTCATTTAGTTATATTTTTCTAGAAAACCACATTCATTCCCCGGGATTATTAATTTGTTGTTTGGGATTCTCACATACAATTGTTAAACTTTATTAAAGATTTAAAACTTTTTATTATCTATTTATTATTTAATTACTAGCCTCACTACAGGCGGACTTAAACTTAACTGGAAAATAAAAAGGGTTCATGAAAAGGGTTGAAATATTATTGAAAGGAACATCTTTAAAAAAACACACACACACAACGCGAAGTACCCAACTTCTATGAATAATGTTAAAAGAAAGCAATATTAAAGAATCGAAGATTTCGCTCACTACATATATGTATATCTAAAATGATGTTTGCCAACGGATGAAAGTAAAGCATTATTGAAGAACTCGTGGAGAATTTTTGAGTTCCGTAAAATTAATCTTGAGACAGATCGTGAAATCACACCCTTCTGATATTGTCAAATCAGTAATACGTGTACTTGGGTTTCAGATCACTTGAGAGACCTAAACTCCCGTTGTAAGTGATTCCTACAAGTACATAAAAAGAAAGCTGACAATCAAAAAGTTGAAATCGTCATGTTTATCCAGAAGTTTAGCTGTTAGTTTCCCATCTCTTTCTTTCCCTAGTAAAATGTCAACATATGAAAGAGATAATATTACGTATATGTCTATCAAACACAGTCCCGAGCGTAGTCAGTGTTTAGAGTGTTTACTCTAATTCGGATTGCATCATATAAACCGAGGTTCCGTGTCGCATTGGGTGCTTGCTGGCATATTCCTCACTGCTCAATAATGCTGATTGCCAAGTACATGTACAGGTCTGAACTTTTTATGCATTCGGCGTTTATGCAAATTATCACGCAAGCCAATTATCGATTTATCACATCACGAAATAAAAAAAAATAAGACAATTATTCTTTAAGTATCGACCATAGAACTCGCGAAATGATGACTTCAAACAAGAATGTCAATATTCGTGTTTCATCAACTTGTTGGTTAGAAGAACGCTCCGTGTTAGAAATTATTCGTATGCAAAGTATGTTCTTGAGAATCGAATCAGTTAGACACATAAACCCCAAATGATATAAAGGTACATGTACATTACTGCATAAGTAAGGGAAGTTGACAATAAAAATGTTAAAGTCACCACGTTCATCATAAAGTGTTGTTGATGTTACTATATATGATCGTATTTTTTAAAATATAAAATATCCAAATATGACTATGAAATGATTGTCAAACTCTTAAGTATCTTTTATTTCAAGTTCACTGGGATATATCGACATCTGAATTGAAATAACTATTGTTAGTTGATTAACGTCGTCAATATATCTAAATGTGAGTAAGGTCTGGTCCTAGGAACATGAAACATCTTAAGCTTTACATTGTACTTAAATGTTGTGGAAGTCAAACAGAACAAAATTAGAATATATTACAAGATAGGTTGACAAAAGGGTTGCTTTTTTCAAATTTTACGATTAATTTAATAATATTAATAAAAAAATTTACGGCGATCGAAAAATTTTACTTAATTTTGTTTCATGATCATTGGGCCTGATCTTCAAAAACTACATCGATATTAATTATCAATCACACTCAGATTTCTTTTCATATCAGTTTCAGAGTAAATGTGTGTGCAATCAAAATGTCTTTTTTAACCGGAATGTTTTTGCAAATGACCAGTGACAAGGTAAGTAAAATAATGTAAGTTTAATTTTTATTGAAAATACATGATGTCAAATAGCCTGGAGTGTAATTTATCAGTGGGGAATGGTTGTCTAAAGTATTGAACAATCGTTTTAATGGTATTGGATTTGGTAAAATTTTATGATTCCAAATTAGGCCCCAGGATCATAAAACAAACCTTATCTCAAGTCAAATTTTCAATCGCCTATAAAGTATTTACATGTATTAATTATGGATTTATAATTCTATAGATAACAACACTTCTGTGAAGCAATAGTGAAAAATATTTTGATTTTGGTCTTCTTGACTTCTACAGCTTTTGATTATAAAATAAAGATTTTGACTTGAGCTTAATTAAGATGTTTTATGATCCTGCAGCCAGAAGTCGCTTTTCAATCAGTGATTTGAGGCACTTTTCGTAACTTTATACTAGCCAGTAAGGTGTCTTGTGCCCTACAGTTCAATGGACGAATAGAACAAATAAAGCTCATTGTGCAATTCAACATTTTTAATCACTTTATTAAGCAAACTGCTTTATAATGGTCAATGTTCTTCATTGTATTTTCTTATATGCAGTCAATAAGTATTCTCCTTGATTTTAAAGAATTACTAAACGTAGAGGGAAAATAATCAATCAATCATTCAATCAATTAATCAATCTCTCAATAAATCAAGTTGTTGGTTCATAACAAAAAAGAAAGGGTGCATCAATCAAAACAGCGACTTCTATAGTATGTGATGAAGAAATAAAACATTATACACTTGTTCCAGCTTAGGATGAATAAAACACATTTTGCCTATATATCTAAAAAACAAAAAAAAATCAAGAATGTCATCTGACGATAATCTGTTGGTTCAGCTGGATGTTATCGTGTTCACGTGACAGCTGGCACATGACGCATGCGGGACACCAGCAGACCATGCAGCAGTCCTCACAGATACTGCCCTGTAATACAAGTAAACACGTACATCAATATTAATTAATCAATATTTCTTACTTTAATTTTTTCATCTATTCCTCACTTTTTTTTTGGTCAGAGTTTTAGAACGCTGTTGAGTAAGCCTGAAATCTCTTCAAAAAATCATCATTTGAAATTATGCTCGATTTATAATTTTTTTATTGAGAAAGATCAAGAACGTTGTACATGGACATTCTGAAGATCATGTAAAGATATGTCTTGTTACGTAATATTTCTTTTAACAAGTATGTTTTTTAATATTTTGGGGAAAGGTGTATTTTTTAAAGGTAAAGAAAAATCGATAAAATCTAGATCAAAATGTAAAATATATATATATTATCTTTGTTGAAAAATATTTCTGCAGGTAAAGAGATGTTCTAATAACAGTTTATTAAGCTTTTTCACTTGAATTTGGCGACAAATAAAATTTAAAATGATAAGATGAACAGACATTTACGGACATTTGATATCAAACTGCTTTATAAATATAACATTCATTCCGCGGATAATTTTAAATGTTTTAATAATCTATTTCATAGGGACCTGGAGCTTGTGTTAGAAGATTGCAAACTTACGACGATGTTGTTTTCTGCACGGATTTTGGTTCGGAGAGGAACCAGAGAACCGTAACATGCTATAGCAAATGGCAGACAACAAGACTCTCCAAGCTTGGATGAGAGGTGACACATATAGCAATTCATACACCAAGTCACAGCGCAGCCTATTGTGATAAAAAGAATCTGTTGGTTATGTTCTCTGGACTTCAGTACATGAGAATGGAATTTGAAAATTTCTTACTGGTTTTATATTGCTTGTATACTAGTCATAAATTATTCAAAACATGAATTATAAAAAAAAATGGTTTAAAATTGAATAAAGCTCAATATCTTTACAAATTACAAATTAGAAATTCAATACACACATGTACTTATTAAATGTATTGAATGTAGTCAATATTTTTAAATGCCCACAGCGGAAGAATGTTTTTTTAAATGTCTTTTATAGTGGATTTCCTTGATTTTTACACATACACGGATACAAACGTACAAGATGCCATGTCCTCGAAACAGCCACAGATACCGGTGCTCCAGTCCCTCATCTGAGGTCGAGTTGGCACCGGTTGTTGCTGTACAACCACAGTGGTGTTGGTGGCATGCTATGGCGAAGGAAGGAAGCGGCATTTATAATCAAAAATATACCGTTAAACCCTCTCTTATACAATCTTTATTCTTATTACATCAATTCAACGTATAACTAAATTTTCAGTCCTTCACTTGGACTGACCGGAGAAAATATAGAGAAAATAGAGTCATTATTATTTTTCGTGTGAATATATATAAATACATTTACTATTCATTATATCATTTTTAGCGTTAAGGTTTCGTTAAAGGTCAACATGTCCAAAAATTTATTTTTTACAATAGCTCCAAAACTATGTGAGGTATAAAGTTAAAACTTTTACAGTTTATACATTTTTCATTGATTAACAGATAAAAAGTATCACTTGATAAAAAATACTTGGAAAAAATATTTGAATTGAGAAAAAATCTTTTTAAAAATGCATATATTTTCAGAAAATGCACCTAATTAATTCCGTGCTTTTAGTGAAACCATCATTGAAGAAACAAAATATGTTTATCAACAAAGGGCAAGTTAGACTTGGAAAGCCTCTGGAAAGTTGTTTTCCCTGTTTATTTTGTCCAAATGTTAACCCGCCATTTGCAATGTACTATCGCTTTCAAGTCTTAACATTGTCTTTATACATGTCATGCTTTCAATAACAGTCTTTCAGAGACCATTCACATCCAACTTGCCCTTCAATGATTGTTGAGTCAGATAGAACGAAAAACACCTCTAATCACGTTGACTTGTTTATCTAGACTGATCATTCAAACATTGTATAACACTGACGTTACCATGACATCATAATTAAGATGACGTCATAATACAAATAATTACTTAATGTCACATGCACTTTAACGTCTCATAAAGGAAGATTATCATCAACATACTCCGGGTCGCAAAATGTCAATAATCACAATTTACAATGATAGAAAGTTCGAATTTCGCGTTGTGTTTTACAAAAAAAAAATTAATTGGAAAGTATTTCACTCCTCCTCACTTTGGAATCTGTCTCGTTTAGTACAAGGGGATATAAATTCGTAATTGGACGGTTTGATATAGTTCCGTTACTAAAACGTAATAGTGCTGATCTTGTGAGTCCATCTCCGCCAGTCATGAGATCCACCACTACAGCAAGTTTCCAATTGATGCGTTTTGTGAAATCATCATGGACTTGGACGACGTCTCCAATTTTGATTTTGTTGCTTGTAGTTCCTGTCCTTCGGATTCGGTGATACTGTCTTCTGTTGACAAAGTCTGTTGTACGTTCCTCTTCCTCTTTGTACGTGAACACTGCTCTCCCTATGTATTTCTTCACTTGATTTTTCCCTCATTCTATAACTATATTGGTGTCTGTTTTCATCGCTCTCCAAGTCTTCATACTGCTCACTGCTGAGTTCATGTAATACAGTACAGAAGCCCACTATCTGTTGTGGTACAAATTTGGGATTTCTATGGGGATTCCTTCACGTCATTCTGCTTGTATCAGAGTGACCTTGATATGACCTTGAAAGTGGAAATAAATTGTGCTCAGTTCTTGTAATTCCTTCATCGTCTTGATATATCTGTCTCAAAAATTTTGAAACAAATATGTCTCCAGGGGGAACATCGTAAATCTGGTTTTTCAAATTGTATCCTGGAATGTGCACTTCTCATCAGTTCTGTTGAGTGGATAGGTCCAGATATTAGATATCCAACCTTTGATTCAACTGCAGTGGGTCCATTTCCTCTGATGATTTTGCCCCCTACTATGTTCCAGTAGTAGTCCGCACCAATGAGCATTGAAATATGGAAATGTTCCTCTGTGCTAACAGGGTGTGCTAATTTTAATCCTCTAAGGTATGCGAGTTCCTTGATATTGACACGTGATCTGTTTGAGATTGGAGCTGCAATCTTTGGAATAATGATGACCTCCATTGGAATTTTGTCTCCAGTTTGTGTTTCTAGCTGTACCATTGCTTTCTCAAGATGACGAATTTCACTATTCTTGTCTCCAAATGCTGAAATTCTTAAGGTAACGGATCCATTTGATTTGATATCAAGTTTCTGTGCTAACTCCACTGTAATAAATGAATTTTGAGCCCCTTCATCAAGCAATATATTACAGCTGATTTCTTGATTTCCATACCAAATTGGTGTCACAGCAGTTTTCAGCAGCACTTCAGTGTTGGCTGTCACCTGTGTTGAAGAGTGAAGCTGGAACGACTGCTCTCGTTGATGGGGTTGATTCGATTGTTTGCTCTCAGACTTTGTGACATCTCTCTCTGAGGAACTTCGAGGTAGTTGCAAATTCTTGCAAATACTTGTGTAATGAGACTTTTTACAATTCCTGCATTTGAAATTTGATTGACATTCACTTACTTTGTGATTTCCAAAGCAATTGAAGCAGACTCTCTTCTGTTTGATGATTGATATTCTCTTATCATAGTCTTGGAAATTATGGCAATTGATTGGTGAATGATTTCCATTGCAGAATAAGCATTGCTTCACATAATTTTCCTGCTTGTTGCTCCTTTTATGACTCGACCCTGCAAAAAAGTTAGCTGTTGGAATGAATTCCTGTGTTTCCTGTTTTGAGTGCATTGCCTGTCCAGCATCTTGAACACATAGCTCCTTCTTAATGGCTCTCCTCAGTGAATGCAGTTCCCATTGATCATCTCCTTTGTCCCGGGTAATGTTCTTCCGAATTTCTGCTGGTAGTTTGTTGTATAACATTGGAGTTAAAATTGTCCCATAGGTGGTTTCATCAGTTCCTAGAGCTTCTAATGCTCTAATGCAGCACTCCATTTTGGCGAAGAAGTTTCTCAAACTGTCAGGATTAAACTTTGGGAATGGTATGTCAAGTAAACTTTGGATATGGGCTTTGATGATTTTGTGATTTTGTCCGTATCTTTCAAATAAAACATCTATTGCTTGTCTGTAATTGGTATTGGTCAAACTGAATCCAGATACAGTGCGAAGTGCCTCCCCACATAGCAATGATCGTAGATAGCTAAATTTTTCAACATTGGATAAGCTGTTGTTCCCATGTATGCTTGTCTCGAAACAATCCCAAAATGTTTGTCATTCAAGTAAGTCTCCTGAAAATTTTGGCAGGTTTAATTTCGGCAGTTTATGACTTTGAATGTTAGGTTTTCCTATGCTGGGTTCTAATGATTCACTGCTTGGAATGAACTGTGGTGCATTAACATTTAAACTCCTGAATGTAGATTGATTAAAATTCTCAGAATCCTTCTCATTCTTTGTTAAATCTGCTAATTTCAGTCTTAATTCTAACATGTACTCATCTGAATCTTCGATCTCAATTTGAATTTCTTCCTCTTTCTCTAGTTCTTGTAGAATCTGGCTGTTGATTTTTTCTAATGTGTCCCATTTCTCCTCCAGTATCTTGATCAATTCAGATTTTCCATTTTCACCTTCATTCTCAGAAATTCTCCTCAAAATTTTGGTTATAACTCCATGATGGCCTGAACGCTGTGCCTTTAACTTGATTACATCCATTTCTATTGTAGTTTGCTATTACATGTACTTTTCCAATGGTCACGGCACCAAATGTTGAGTCAGATAGAACGAAAAACACCTCTAATCACGTTGACTTGTTTATCTAGACTGATCATTCAAACATTGTATAACATTGACGTTACCATGACATCATAATTAAGATGACGTCATAATACAAATAATTACTTAATGTCACATGCACTTTAACCTCTCATAAAGGAAGATTATCATCAACAATGATAAACATATCCTATTTCTACAATGATGGTTTTCACAAAAAGGACAGAATTAAGCAGGTGCATTTCTCTTTAAATATGCACATTTTCTGATACAATTTTTCTCAAAAAATATCTTTTTTAAAATATTTGTTATCAAGTGATACTTTCTATCTATTAATCAATGATATGCTTATAAACTGTAAACATTTTGACTTTATACCACACATAGTTTTGGAGCTATGGTAAAAATATTTTTTATACATGTTGACCTTTAACGAAACCTTAACAATATATGATCGATGCTTTAGAGTATGAACAACTATGTAAACTAATATGTAAACATCCCTTACATTAAGATCGTTTAAAATAATATCAACAAATCAGAACCAACCATATTTAAGCAACTAAAAATGTTCTCTGCACTCCGCATATGTTGTCTAAAATCGATCGAAATAAACCAAGCTAAAAAAATTATTTTATAAGCGCCATATATCGTCTGAAATTTAAATAAAAAAACTCACGTATCCAAATGGCTGCCCCACCCCAGGTTGACCTGTTACCGGCATAGGCCCATGTTGTCCCGGATACTGGGGGGCATTGTATCCAGGAGGGGATCCTTGATCGAAAGGTTGAATATTCTGCTGTGGGGGTGTCATTGGAGGCTTTCCTAGAAAGAGCATGAACATCCCAGAATTTGAACATCCTGATTTTCTTGTCCTCTATTTTTCTTAATAAGTACATAATTTGATGCAAAATTTTATTTTCACAAAAATAAATAAGCATAGAAAAAATTAGAATTGGTTATAGAAATTTTCATGTAAAACATTTTCTTAAATACTTATTACATTTGTAAATATCTCTCACAATGAATTTTAATACTATATTATAATTTTTTTGTTTTATAGTACTTAATCAGATGTTAAATCAGACGGGAAGAAAATCGAATTAAACGTTTTGTTTATTTTTATTTTTACTCCATAGAATTTCAATCATTAAAATTCAGTGCACTCATTTTTAAAATAAGTCAGATTTTCCCTCAGACATAGCAGAAAAAATTGCGATTAGTTGAGCAAAAAGAATCATAAAACCAGAGCAAATATTTTATCCAAGTGTACAGACCTGCTTCCCAATCCGCCATTTTGTTTTACCGGGACAAGGCCGACCAGTGTCGTGCAGTGACAGTTTTCTGTGTAATATTGATAAGATATCCTAAATTTTCCCTTAAAAAATTGCATTACATAATTTGATTTAAAGGTGCTATTTACTTTCGTGAGAGTTTAGAAATAAAATAATTATCAATGAGGTAGTTCGGTATGCCAGACACCACCATTGTAGGGAGAAAAATGCTTACTTTATGATTTTAGCTTTATCAAAATGAAACAAATGAAAGATCTCCAGCTTGATTGACTAAAGCACACATCGATCTGATTTAATTAAAATCTTTATTATGACCAGTCTCCAGCCTACACGACAGCCATAATTTTCTGTCTTTCTTTTCACACCCCCCCCCTCTGTTAGGGTGTGTGTACGAGGGAGGATGTGCGTTTGGGTGTGTGAGTAAGGGTGTATATGTGTGTGTAAGAGAGGGTGTGTCTGTATAAAACTGGAAGCCAATGTTCTCAAGGAGAAGGTATTATGACGATCTAAAGCGATTTTAGGTCACATCTTATCCATAAGTTACCTGTATATTGGAACGAATACATAGAACGAACGTCGGGTAATAACTTGGTAAAGAAAATGAATGCCAAACTGCAAAAAAAAAAAAAGGTCACCCTTTTTGAAAATTGACTTGGAGGTAGGCGGGAGAACAGTATCGTTCTCACCTTTTTGCAGCTCTTCACCAGCAAGTGTTGGCGTCTCTGTACGAAAAATTCTCGAGAGGAACGTTAAAGAATATACAATTAATCAATCAATTTATATTAGAAATTTTAGAATAATGGAGAATTTATGGAAATGCTACTATTCAGCATGAGAAATTAATATAGAGTCTATCGAACAATGAACGATCTCAATTTTTATGCGCCCGGATCGATAGATCGGGGGCATGTGTTGTTTTTGTCCCGTTTGTCTGTTTATCTGTTTGTCTATCTATTGTCAACTTTAATCTTCACCATAACGTTTGAACTGTGAGAGACGGAGACTTCATATTTGATAGACATACTCCACTAATTAAGCTCTTTCTAATGACACCAAAGTCAATGGCCTTTTGATCTTCACTGTGACCTACTTAGTATATTCTAAAAATAGTTTTTTCGAACTTTGAACCATAGGAGCTAGAGACTTGATATTTAGTATGCATATTCCACTAATAAGTTCTTTCAAATGACACCAAGGTCAATGACTTTGCGATCTTGACTAGCTGTGTCCAATATTCTAAAAATAGCTTTTTTGAACTTTGTTGCCGCCGGTGCATAGTGTTTCACAAACACATCTTATTATTTAATAATAATTAAAAAAGCAGAAAACACTGATTCAGGGAAATTTCAATCATGTAAGGAGTAAACGATTGAATTGTCCACCTGTATGTTCAATGACTTAACATTATAGTTGTTAAAGTGGCAATACGGCGCATCTCTTCAAAAACAGACTTGTTAAAATTTTCCTATAGGATTTGGAATTTTTTTCATACTCATAAATGTATACACTTTTTCAAAATTACAAATTTCATAGGTAAATAATTCTGATTATTTCATTAAAAATAATAGTTATTTATGGTCCATAAATATTTACATCGCAACGTGTTCGAGGTTCCACATTCCATGCTATTCACGCATGAGTGTAGTTTTCATAAACAAAACAGAATGGTAAGAGAAGGAAGCCCGGCAGGCCTGCTACATTGACAAAGTCGACCAAAACGAAAAACAAAACCAACAAGCAAATTCAAAGAATTGTGGTCCCCCGCTTTCGGTGTCTTTTTGGATGAGATTTCATTTTTTAAGGACATTTTGTGTCTAATATGAACGCCCTATCATAAGACATCTATTTAGAAATTATAACTGAACTCCAAGGTCAAGGTCAAAGGGTTAACGTTCTTGGTATCCAATGAAAAATCTTCTCACAAGGATTACATATGTGAAGTATGAAAGCCCTAGCCCTTACCATTCAAAAGTCATGGTCAAGGTTAAAGTTTTCTCATAAGTACAAAAAAATCTTCAAGGTCAAGGTCAAAAGGTCAAGGTTGTTGGTATCAAATGAAAGGTCTTGCCACAAAGAATACATATGTGAAATATGAAAGTCCTGGTATCTACTGTTCAAAAGTTGTGGCCAAGGTCAAAGTTTTTGAAAAGTACGTCAAACTCCAAGGTCAAGGTCCAAGGGGCAAAGTTCTTGGTATTCAATGAAAGGTCTTATCACAAGAATTATATATTTGAAGTAGGAAAGCCCTAGCTCTTATCATTCAAAAGTTATTGTCAAGGATAAGTTTTTTTTATAAGTACGGAAATCTCCAAGGTCAAGGTCAAAAGGTCAAAGTTGTTGGTATCCAATAAAAGGTTTTTTTTACAAAGAATACATATGTGAAATATGAAAGTCCCAGTATCTACCATTCAAAAGTTATAACCAAAGTAAAAGTTTGAATTTTTTTTGTAAAATTGGGTCAAACTCCAAGGTCAAGGTCAAAAGGTCAAATTTGGTGGGACTCAAAGGAAGGTTTTGTCACAAGGAATACACTTATGAAATATGAAAGTCATAGCTCCACTGAATCAAAAGTTATGGGCAAGGTTAAAGTTTTTGTGACGGACGGACAGGCTGACGGACAGACGGAATGACCGATTTAATTGATATAGGTGTAACTTTTTACCTTTTTGATGAAATGCTTTGAAACTGATAATGTGAGGATATGTTAGTAGTACAGACATGGTGACATGGTCAAAATAGCGAGATCTCACGCGCATGCACGTGCGCTTCGCTCTGATTGGCTGAAACTAAAGTCTCAATATCTCTCTTGTTTTTTGAAGAAATCCTTTGAAATTTTGAACATAGCCATGCATTTGGATATCCTACAAAATGATATACAGCAATTATCACGAAAACACGTGCATGCTTGTGCACTGCAATCTGATTGGCTTAAACTTTAAATAGCTATAACTCCCTTTGTTTTCAACCAAACAGGATGGGAATCAGAACACAGATAGATATAATACACTTCTACAAGAAGGCATGGTCACCATGCACATGCAAACACGTGCCTGTACGTGCGCTGCAATCTATTTGGCTGAAACTTTAAACAGCTATAACTCCCTTGGTTTTCAATCAAACGGGGTGGAATTTAGAACATAGATAGATGTAATGGACTTCTACAAGAAGGTATGGTCTTCTTGCACGTGAAATGAGTAAAATCAAAAATACACTTGAATGAGCGTATTTTTTCATACTTTTGGATTAAACACTTTAATATTTAGTATATTAAAATATATAGATTGTGTAGACAAGATGATATGGTCACTACGCACATGCATTCACATGCGCACGCGTGCAATGCTAAAATTTGAATGAACTTGGTACACTTCTGGGTAAACGTCTCAAATGCATAGAGTTTGTCTTATTTAATAAAGCTTACAGCAAATATGGCACCAAAAGGGAGTTGGGGGGGGGCGTTTGGGGAACATCTGTAACGGTCCCCGTTACAATTAGCACTAGTTCACAGATGCATTCCTTGTGACAAGATTTTTCTTTGGGGTACGACCAAATCTGATTCTTGAGGGTGACCTTGGAGTTTGACGCACTTTTACAAAAAATACCACACTTTAACCTTGGCCATAACTTTTGAACAGTTGGTGGTTGAGCTTTCATACTTCACATGTGTATATAGAATGTGATATGACCTTTCAGTGGATATAAATATGTAATTTTACCTTAACCCCAGAGTTTGACGCACATTTTAAAAACTTTAACTTGGGTCAAAACTTTTGAACACTTGGAACTTGGGCTTTCATATTCCACAGGTGTATTCCTCATCTCAAGTTATTTGATCCTTATTTTAATAATTTACTGGATTCTTTCCTTTTAATTCAAAAATTGACTGATTTAATGGTTTAAAGTTCAGTAAGTTTTTGGAAGTTCTAAGTACCGTTCATACATTGAGTGCCATCCCGTTACAACTTGCGTACTTAGTATTTGAATGTTTTACAAAACTACATGATACAGCACTCAGTGTTAAATTATTGTCACTGTGAAATATTATTAAAAATCAGCCGAACCGTGAGAAAAAAATCAACCTTTTTCTGAAAAATGGTCATTTGAAAAAGTTGGTCTTCATGCCTGGAGTTGCAATTAATGAAACTAAAGTAATTTGACTGGTTGATCTTTGGTCCATTTGTGCATAAATCTTCGTACAAGTATAGAGTACATTAAAATGCTCAAAATACCCTTATCAACGATAAAATCTTACATGTCCCATAAAAACTGCACTACCTGCTCGTTTCCAGTTGATTAGCAATGACAGAAGAAAAATAAAATTGTTTACAAACTTTATTTCTTGTGCAATGTATGCAATTTCTGTACAAAGTAAAACAGGTAAAGCACTTCAGTTTACACGACTTACTGCTTCCTGGGTTTATACAAAAGGATTTTTCGAACAATGTTTTCAGATTTGAAGGACCAGAAAACTTTCTTGACATTCAAGGTCTCATCATACCATGCTATTCGTGCAATGAATTTTCTCTAGGTAGCCTTAGTTTGAATGAGAACTACCTGTTTCAAAAGTGCTTTGAAAAAAATAATGAATTTTGAAAAGAAAAACTGTCAAACGTATCCTTTTTAAAACAGAGACATTTAAAAAAAAAAAGGACCAATTATTATTTTATTAAATCTAAATCGACTTAAATAAGAAATACATGTATAAAAAAACTTGAAAAGAAGGAGAATTGTTCTTATATTTTAGGGGTTTTCTAGTATGTTTTCTTTCTTTCTTACCCCACCCCCTAAAATTAACTTCTGTAAAAAATATTATGATTGCTAAGAAATCTAAAAGTTGCTTTCATTTTTTTAAAAACCCCAAAACATAAGAATAATTATTATTCTAGAAAATTTAAAGAAATTTCTCCACAGAAGGCATTTGTTTGGTCTCTACTGGATGAATATGAATACACTCTATAATATGTATAATATAGAATATTTGTATAATATAATTCCTGCAATGGAAAGGACATATTAAAAAAACAACAACAACAGATATACGATACATTTCGCATAAATTTAAAAATAAAGTATCACAGGATAATAATGTTTCACAACAAAACACCATTTTTTTGTGCTGTAACAGCAATAACGGTTAACTGTTAGTGAGTACGGTTCAGCTGGATGTTATCATATTCACGTGACAACTGACACATGACACACTGCGGACACCAGCAGACCATGCAGCAGTCGTCACAAATACTTCCCTGTAAATTAGAGAAAGAAAACAGGTTAAAAAAATCATTGTTCTGCGTGCGGTGCATTTTTTTCAAAGAAAAAAAATATAATATGTTTAAATGATGAAATACGTTAAGTAAAAAATTTACAATGAATATATTGAACTATATTCATCGTCACAAATACTTCCCTGTAAATTAGAGAAAGAAAACAGGTTAAAAAAATCATTGTTCTGCGTGCGGTGCATTTTTTTCAAAGAAAAAAAATATAATATGTTTAAATGATGAAATACGTTAAGTAAAAAATTTACAATGAATATATTGAACTATATTCATTGTGTCCCTATAAAACGTCGTTAAAAAGAGGGGAAAGGCTGTTTTTTTTTTTTATCAAGTTCACACAAACACTTACATGGATGTTGTTCTCGGCACGGATTTTGGTTCGGAGGGGAATCAGTGCACCTGTTCCAGCGATTGCACACGGCAGACAGCAGGACTCCCCCAACTTACTGGAGAGGTAACACATGTAGAACTGTGGACAAAAGAACACGGCACAGCCTATCAAAGACAACGGGGAAAATAGTATACAATGTAATGCAATGTGTTAATATACAAAATCATAAGACAGAAATGATAAATCATTTAAAGAAAGACCATAATTGAAGCATTTACTCTGTTGGAAATTATATTCAATTTGGTATCTAATTCATAAAATGATACAGGACAACCATTCCACAAGCTTATCATTTTTGCAAGTGTGAAAACTGTTCCCTACCATGTAGCGGTATATTATCAATAATTATGAAAAATGTAAAGAGAAATCTTTGTCAAAAATCAGCCCAAAACAAATGTGTCAAATGCAAACATACAGGATCCGAAATCTTCAAAACAACCACATATTCCTGTGCTCCAGTCCCGTTTTGGGGGTCGAGTCGGGGCCTGTTGCTGTACAACTACGGTGGTGTTGGTGGTATGCTACGTCATGAAAGAAAAATGCATGCAATTGAAGCCTTAATATTCTGCACTTAATTTTGTTGGAGAATTAAGAGAGGGAGAAAGCGAACATGTAGGCTCAAGCAAGATCTGAATTCAAGACAGGTAAATAGGAAAGCTCTCCAGCATTACAGCCTTTAAAAGTCATGAATAATATGCACAGTGAAGTCGATTTAATGTTAAATTATCGTTGATCGATAAAATGCAAATGCAAGACAGGATAAGGATGCAATACGGGACTTTTAAAAAGCGATATTGAACAAATCAAACACCTTCATAAAGTTTGAACTCAAAATAAATTGCTCACGTAACCGTAAGGTTGTGCAGGCCCTGGCTGAGTGGTGACGGGACCAGAATGTCCCGAGTACTGAGGTGGAGGCCCATGTCCCTCATAGGGCTGAACTTTTGGACTTGCAATGCTAGGCTCATTGCCTTTTTTTCCTGTTAAGATTGAGAATACATGTATTTGCTTTAATTATTTCTTTAACATCTTACATTTGTTCTTCCTTTTTAATGGTACTGCTCAACACAAAAAGAGTTTGTAAAAATTTAGGTCTACCTCATTATTTTCAAGTGGTTAATATTGATTTTTCTTATTGACGTCAACCATTCTAGAATGATTTTTAGTATTTTTAAATAATATTTCACATTTTTATCGTTCATGAATTTCTAAGTCAACAAGAAGACGACTTGTATTTTTTTTGAAAAGGGTAAAAATAATTAAGTTGCTTTTCTCACTAATTTATCTAAGACAGATGTATCATCTGCATATACAGTGGAAAAAAAGAGTTATTGGTTGACTTTTGATGATGTTAAAATATATGATTTTTAAAAAATACGATACCATTCACTCTCATAACACCAATAAGATAAAGTATCAGAAATATAACATTTGGTTAATATAAAAATATCCCTTAATGATAAATCAAGAAAGCAATTGATGAACGCTAACATAACTACCATTAAATTACTTTTTTCCAAAAATTTACCGAAAAATACACAAATGTTTAATTATTTTGATTTTTCAAAACTAAAATTTATATCAACAAAATTAATTCTCAGACATACATACCCGATGGACCCTCCGACATATTGCTTCTACAGGTAACCAAGATAAACTAATTACAATAATGATTGCAGCTTTATGCAGAAAGAGGCGGGGATTTAGACTGCACAGGTGACATCATTATGTGAGACCAGGAACAGCATGAGCAAACAAATATTGAACATTGAAAACAAAATTTGCATTTACAGACTTGAGATTAAGAAGGCATTAGACCGTATTGAAGACGCGGTGTAAGTGTCTAAAAAGGATTTGCAAATTAATGCTATGGGTATTGAAATGTTGTGTTTTCACTTGTTCATGAAGCCATTATCTTTGCACATATTTCTAGTATAGTTAACTGATTTATGATATATTTTTTACATGAACTTTAAGGTTAATGTGAATTTATTTATTAATAGTTTTCCCGAATTTCTGGCAAAAGCGAATTTATTCTTTCAAATATACTCTAGGAAAGAGTAAATCTGCAGTCTGTTTGTGAGAAGACCTCGAATTCAAAGTTTTTTACAATTTCACCGTGTTTAATTTGATTTGATTTGATTTTGGAAAAATACTCTGGTGCATAAAAACACAAATGATTACTCCAAAATCTTAAAACGCTCTGAATGATTGAAAAGTTGTCGACACTTGTACTTGTTTAGTTAATTTTTTTAAAAAAGTTTCTCACGTCTTGAAGTAAACTAAACTAGATGTGAATGTTTCATAAATAATTGCATTTTCCCGTTAATGCATATGGCATTCTACATTTAACTAAATGCATGGTGTAACAAAGTGTTTTATGTCCTCAAGGGTTTTAGTAAACTGAAGGAAAATTTATGACATGTTAGGAAGATTCAAACAGAAAAATAGTTTTGTTTTCAATGAATATATAAATGCATTTTAATGAATCGCTTTATAAACCTTTTTAAAAAAGAAAGTAGAAATTGTGCATAAAATTCCTCGAAACGAAACATCTTGAGAAATTGAACTTAGCAAGCAGGTCTTTACAAAAGAACAAATTGTGTGATTGATGGAGATTTTATTCTTACGATCATTTAAGCATCATTTCAAAAAAAGTGAAAGACTTAAAATTCCGAAAAAGGAAATCAAGTGCAGTTATTTTTAAATATTTTAGGGATCTTAAGGAGAGAGAATGTTTGCCTGTTATTGTCGTATCATAAATATATTACGGAAGGATTTTTTTTATATTTCCGTTGTGGTAGAATCATTGGTCCGTGACATCGAGTTATTGATTCTTCCTCTGGAATAAATGTGCAAGGTTGGTAATTTTTTAATTACTTTAAATTGTCAAAAACAATTCTTGAAAGAATCTCCTTTTTGCAACTCAAAAATTTGTATTTTGTTATGGTATAAAAGCTTTAAACTGAATATTCTTTAAAAAATCAGATTTTGTTAACGAATTTTCTTTTATTACAGAAACAATATCGTTGTTATTATAAGTGTATAATATAAGTTATGATGGACATTTGTTAATCAAGAAATCGCTTTAGTTAAATCCTGCAAAAGCTTCTAATATTTTTGTAATAAGTGTACAACCGTATAATAATAAATTGTATATCTTATGCTTAACAAACATATGGAAATTAGGTTTTTCTCATGCTATTTTTCGTTTCCGTAGTATATAATGTGTTTAAGTTTGTTTCTGTTTTTAAACGATGCCTATTTTCATCTCTCTCTCTTTCTCTCTCTCCAAGAAGAAGCAAAGATGTAGACATTAAGAGAGCGTCTAAAAATAATGTGAAAACCTCGTTGTGCAAAATTTATTTAAGTTTGAAGTTAAAGAAGAGTGTTTTAAGGATTTTTTTTTGTTAAAGAAATTTTAATCTTGGCTTTTAGAAATGGTTTACACACTTGGCCGATTTTTATGTAGAAAGATACTTTAAGAACGGAATAAAAACAGAACACAAGTGCATTTAAACCTTACCATAAACACTGCAAATAAATAAATGAAATAAAATAACATGACTTACACCATTTCAGAAATTATAATTCATATTAATATTTTTGAAAAATCAACTAATTTTTTAATGAGATAATTGCTAATATACATGTAAAAAAAATTATGAAATATATACATAATTATATTCTATAAAATTAAAGAAGCAAATGCACGTAAAATAATATTAAACCGTACAAACAGAATCTGATGGGAAAAACCACATCCTCTAAATGCAAACACACATGCTTTTCTGAAACAGGTGCAAACGCAGTAGAAATACATGTATAATTTTATCGTTATGAAATTTTTTGCATAAAAAGGAAGTAAAATTGGATAATATATTTATCAATCTAAAAATATCGTTTTGAATCGCTGGAGTCCGTTCATAGTCAAATCGACATTCCACAATAGTTTTGGCACCTCATTAAGGTCATACGCAACGTAGTTTGAACTTAATTGGGCTCTTCCCTGGAGTTGAAGAGTTCCACTAAAGGAAGGACCTGTGTGCAATACTTTTAATGTCTATATATAGATTTGTAGACCTGTTCTAAAACATTTTTTGTTGATGGAAAAATGGAAAAAAAAATCTGGAATATGTTTCGTAATTTTTGTATATATTTCTTTGAATAATGCAAAAATTTTCATAATTTGATATCTTCCAAAAACCCCTGGTAATGCAAGCTGATATTTTGTCTATGAACATCTGATGGCACTATAATCTTAATTTAAGAATATCTTGATAAATTTTCAGTAGGTAAGGTACCTTGCGTATATCCTAAAGGATACATGTTTGCTCTGAATAAAATATTAATTTCTAAGAAAAAAAACTGAACATACAATCGCAAATGACGCACATGACAAAGCAGCTAACAATCAGATATGGTTAGTTTATAACTTTGAGACAAACTTTGGTATTCCATTTTAAATCCCATGTTCTACAAAATTATACATGTTTTAACGAATGGTTAGTTCTTGGTTCAGCTGGATGTTATCGTATTCACGAGACAGTTGACACATGACACACTGTGAACACCATAAGACCATACAGCAGTCCTCGCAGATACTGCCCTGTAAACGAGGTAAGATAAAAATGGGAATGGTTAGATGTCTTAAAGTATGATATATCTTAATAAATAAAATAATTCAGCAATAATTGTGGAAGACAAGGATAGGAAATTTCCTGATCAATTTTAAAGGGAAGACCAAAAATATTTTATTATAAAACACGGTAGTTTAAAGGAATGGAAATTCAACAGTCACTTATATAAATCGATCTTACATGAATGTTGTTCTCTGCACGGATCTTGGTGCGCAGAGGAATAAGTGCCCCATGTCCTGCGATGGCAAAAGGCAGACAGCATGACTCGCCAAGTTTGTTGGACAGGTAACATACATAACACGATGGACATAAAATCACAGCACAACCTTTAGACAAGGAAATAAGATAAAGGGAGTAAATGACATTAAAAAATGCAAGATATATTTGTAAAACACTGATTCCGCTGTATGGCAACATAGCAAAGGTTAAACTTTCTCAAATGCAAACCAAATAAGATGGTACTTTAAGTAAGGCCATCTAACAAGAAATACAATTCTTGTGAAATATGGAAGCCCTATCACCGCCTGTTTAGAGGTTATGGGCAAGGTTAATTTCTAAAAGTAGGCCAAACTCCTAGGTCAGGGTCAAAGTCGTTGGTTTCTAAAGAAAGGATTTGTCACAAGGATTACATATTTGAATTATGAAAGTCTTAGCTATAACCGTTCAAAAGTTATGGCCAAAGTTCAAGTTTATTGAAACTAGGTCAAACACCTAGGTGAAGGTCAAAAGCTATAAATTGTTGATATCCTAAGAAAGGTCTTGTCACAAGGATTACATATATGAAGTATGAAAGCACTAGCCCTTACCGTTCAAACAATTATGACCAAGGATAAAGTTAAACAACAAAATACATGTAGCGAATTCAATGCCTTTTGTCATTAATAACTGCTAGACAACATTGTAATAATGCCCCCTTAATCCAAGATTTTAGGCCCATACTATATTCGTAAATTTATTTTCTTTAAATACCCGTTAAATGTATGTATTGAAAAACACAAGCTAGTACTCCATTTGTTAATAATTATGCTAAATTCAAACATACAGGATCCGAAATCTTCAAAACAACCACATATTCCAGTGCTCCAGCCTCGTTTTGGAGGTCGAGTTGGTACTTGCTGTTGTTGTGTCACCACTACTGTAGTGTTGCTTGTGGAATGCTACAATATGTAAATGTACAACATCATATAAAGGCCAAATAATTTCTGTGTAAAAAAATAAGTATTAACTTCTGCAGTTTTATCCAAACTTATTTTCTAAATAATTCGTATCTTTAAACCTAGTAAGTTTACAAAAGCCGAAAGTTATATGTAGACTAAAATCAAGGTACAAACAGGGATCGAAAAATTTAAGCATCAATAGTCAATTTTCTAGGTCTTGATTTAATGAAGGTATGAACTCATTATTTTCAGAAATCCAATTTACATTGATCATTTAACCGATATGATGCAATTACACTGTATACATTCAGAAATGTCTAAAGAACGTTGAAAATGCATGGGTTTAAATGCTTTTCAAAATAATTGATAATTTTTGTGAAACACTGCAGCGTCATCGATTTTTTTTACAAACAAAAGGCAATAAAAGAAGATATCGAATCAGATAAATCATACAAGTGTTTATATAGAATGATAAAATACTTACGTAACCAAATGACTGCCCAGCCCCTGGCTGACTCGTTATGGGTCCGGGTTGTCCCCCTGAAAACTGAGGGCCACTGTAACCGGGTGGAGGATCTTGACCATCGTAGGGATGGACTTGGTTTTGATGTGGGGAACCAATGGGAGGTTTAGACTCCGTTTTTCCTACTTGAGAACCAAACGAATTACTAAATAAATTTCATTGTGAAAAACTAAGCTTTAAGTCTGCGCTCTGATTTTTCTTGAAAGAAGAAGGAACGGTTTGGGCTTTATTGTGCCCTAAAAGTTTAATGTTCTTAAAAAGTTATGATATTGGCTTTAACAAGAGTTGAGTAAATGAAAATAATAAATCATTAAAAAATATTGCATAAAGGGGGACCATTGTGGAAATATGACGTCATTAATTTGGTATTTATTTATAAGTTTAATGCAGAAAAGCCTCAGAATGACTAATTTCTGTGCTTATTTTTCTTTAAAAAATAATATCTGCCACCGCCGCCCACTTCAATTTCAGGATGTTTTATGTAAACTGCTTTGAAAAATCATATATCCCAAAATCTTTGTTGGCGATGCATGCATGTTTTCTGAAGAAAATTCCACTGAAAATTGATGTCTAAATTTTGCTTTTTCAAAGTTAATTGCACAAGCCAATGACGTCACAATTAGCATGTAGGAAGTCATTTAAACAATAAAATGATTTTTTTGTTTGTTATTACTGGAATTAACGGAAGCAGCTGTTGCAGAAAAAATACATAACCCGCGTAAGGGTTATGTAATTTTTTTCTGCAATAGCTACGACCGTTAATTCAAGTAATAACAAACAAAGGAAGACATTTTATTGTTTATGTATGTATTTATATCTGTTTAAATAATCATTTAAAGTTAGATTAAAAAGATTAATTATTGTATTACTGATGCGAACGTCTTTATACGTTTCATTGATGGAACAGCCACTGATAAAGAAATCTGTACAGGTGAAATGCCTAATGTAGTTCATGCAGTGATTAACGCAATGGGTTTTCTTAAGAAATAAAGGAGAAAATATTCAGTGGATGTAAATATATGGGAGATTTCCTATAATTGAAAAAAAAATTAATTTCGTACATCACTTTTGTATTATTATAGAAATATACAGGATTAAATTTGTATTGAAACTGTACTTTGTTCTTTACAATAAAATTTAGGTCAGGATTCGGGTCTTTCTTCATTTTCAAGGCCATTCTTTTTTATTTGTTAAAACGAAGTTTTTAATTTTGTAAAAAATCAAATTTTCAAAAAAAATCATTGCAAAAAAAGAGCGATTTGATTTAAAGATAACATCGGATGCAAAAAAACGCTTAACTAAAAAAAAGTTTTTTTTAAAAAAAAATCTTTTTACCGTCCATATTAATTTCAAATGTTTCACTGATGAACATTTTATTTAGCAAATATACCAGGATTTTTAAAATAAGACGTACAAACCTGATTGTCCGTCCGCCATATTGCTTACAGGTAACTAAGGTAAACCAATGCATCAAATATGATTTTATGCAGGAAGGGCTATCTGATAAGCATACGTGACGTTGTTTGATAAGACCAGAAACATATGAAAAAAAAAACCATCTAATCGATCTGATAAAGAATAAAGTTTAAGATGGTGTAAAACAACAATGTAGAAAGGGAATATTATGATTTTAAAAAATTTAAAAGAAAAATAATTTTCATTTTCATATTAATTTTTGAAGAAAAAAATAAAACAATTCCAGAACCTCTCGAATGAAATAGATCTAGTGAGAGATAAAGTCATGTTCATGATGTCATGTTCATGATGTCCTTGAGTTTTAATTAGAGCATATTTCGCAAAGATTAAAAATGGCCTTGATATCATGGAAGAATTATTGATGTAAATAAAATGCATCTGTATAAATTTAGGCATATCAAATCGACATATAATGATTTTCTTTTAAAAGAGGATTTTTTTTTATATGGAAATTGCCTAAGGGGGAAAAAAGATATTAAAAATTAATAAGTTAACTCAGTGATTAGCCTCCAGGTGACCTAACTTTTCTGTATGTGTCCACAAATTTCCCTCTAATTTTAGCAGAAGCATCAAAAGTGAAAGGGTGACCAATATTGCTAATGGCATACCCCCACCACCACCACTTTTGATTGTTTCTTCCAAAATTGTGAAAGTTTGGTGCTGGAGTGGTCGATTGAATGATATAGATTATTAATTTTTAAGATCTTTTTTTCTTTGCTCTTGGTGCAATTTCTTTTTTTTAAAACAACCTCTTTTAAAAGAAAATTATCATATGTCGATATGCCTAAATTAATCTATATACATCGTTCTGTGCAAGCAGATTACTTTTTTTACGTTTAAAGATTGGCCGTGTACAAGGCCATTCTCCAAACGTCAAAGAGGTACATATGGATAAATTTAATAATTTCATGAAAATATAAGATCTTTAAATTTACATTTTTGTAAATTAAAGTTGGGGTGGGGCTATCGATCCATACTTCATGTGCCTTTGGATCTATTAACTTTGTAATTAAAAAAGATGGGTGTTTCGTTTTTCGTTTTCCTGGAAAGTGTTATCGAATTCTGACGTTCATTCTGGGTTTAAAATGTTCTTGTTTTTGATTTTCTGAAATCAGTCAACACATTTTCAGAAAATAAGAATTTAAATATGCATCTAGCGCACACGTTCCCAAGCCTGAGAGAGAGCGCTTTGTATGTGCATTCTTGTGTTGATTAGGCAATTGATAAGATACTTTACAACCAGTGAAAAAATGATTTTAAAATTCAATAAAATGTAAAAAAAAAAAAAAAAAAAAAAAAAAAAAAAAAAATTAATTCACTCAATCAAAAAAGACTGCAGACAACTGAAGAGTTTGATGTTTGTTAAATCAATCATTCAACGTTGGCTACTTATGAAGAGTCTTAAACAAAAAAGGCATTGACGTCGTGCAGAGAATTGAGGCGTGTTTTGTAACCTTTTACATATTATACATTAATTTAATCAATAGGTGTCATTTCTGCCATCTTTAACACAGTGCCTTTTTCATGCGATTGGCAATGGATGCGCAGCTTATTACGGAACGCCGAATTAACATATATTCAAATATGTGTTCCTATCTTCAAATAATTGTACCTGTCTTCAAATAAATTGTACCTATTTTTAAATCAATTGTATCTATCTTCAAATGAATTAGAGATAGATACAATTCAATTATACCTATCTTTAATTCATTTGAAGGTAGGTACAGATGATTTGAGGATAGGTAAAAATGCAATGAATTGAAGATAGGTATAATTGATTTAAAGATAGCTACAATTGAATTGAACCTGTCTTTAATTACTAAGATATTGGCAATAATAACTTCTCCTTTTATCATACGTCATTTCCGATACGTCACAGCTGGTGCAAAAGTTTATCGGAATCTTCATCGCGCTGCCGAAAAGAAGTACCGTTATTGGCTTATACATTGCATATATTGCCACATATAACATTACTTTAAATACATTGGTTAACAGGTGTTACACAAGTGTTATTACATAATTTTACACTAATATGTATGTAAAAAAAAAAAAAAAAAAAAAGAAAACAAAAAAGAAAAATTACCCCCACGGAAATCTGACCCACTACCTATTCACTATATTATTTAATAAATTCTTTAGAAATGAGATGTGATACGTGTAAATCTCAGGGTTGGGAAGGGTTGGCGAAGGCATAGAGAGACTTGCGTCCCCTGGTGAGGGAACAAATTACTTTTCTTAACGCCAGTTCTTAATGCTAGCATCATATACTGTACAATATGTCTGATATATTTTTTATATGCATTCTAGGACTTCCTTCTTTCTGACATGGTCCCCCCTCACTACGGCAATTTTTACAACTCAAATGCTTCCTTTAGACTTCGAATTGAATAATATTAGTGTTTTACGATTTACAAACTTTATCTCTATAATGTTACACGGGCGCCGGCAATTTTATAAGCCCATAATTTAAATAACTATCTTCTTATCTTCAAGCATGAGTTGGGCCTATATTACGATGAATATTTACAAATCAAGTTGAAACAAAATAACAAATGCTCACGTAACCGTACGGCTGTGCAGGTCCCGGTTGACTGGTGACGGGGCCAGAATGTCACGAGTACTGAGGTGGAGGTCCAGGTCCTTCATAAGGCTGAACTTTTGAACTTGAAATGCCGGGCTCAGTGCCTTTTTTTCCTGTTAAGACTGAGAATACACTCATGTATTTGCTTTAATTATTTCTTTAATATCTTTCATTTGTTCTTCCCTCTTTTTAAATATGCTCATGGTACCACAACATTGAAGAACTACCACATTATTTTCATGTGGTTAATATTGATTTTTATATATTGACGTCAACCATTCTAGAATGATTCTTAGTATTTTAAAATAATATTTCACATTTTTATCGTTCATGAATTTCTAAGTCAACAAGAAGGCTTCTTGTATTATATATTTTTTTTTAGAAAACGGTAAAATAATAACGCTGCTTTTCTCACTACTTTATCTAGATAAGATGTATCATCCTAATTTAAACAGAAAAAAAAAACCAAAACAAAAAACGAGTTATTGGTTAACTTTTGATGATGTTAAAATATGATACAATTTAAAAATACCATACCATCCATTCTCATAATACCAATAAGATAAAGTATCAGAAATATATCATTTGGTTAATATAAAAATATCCCTTAATGATAAATCAAGAAAGCAATTGCTGAACTTAATGCTCAAGTCAGTTCAATTTGACACTTACGCTAACATAACTAACAAATTACTTTTTTTTTCCAAATTAAACCAAAAAACACAAATGTTTAATCATTTTGATTTTTCAAAATTACAGTTTATATCAAAAAGATTAGTTCTCAGACACACATACCCAATGAACCCTCCGACATAATGCTTCTACAGGTAACCAAGATTAACTCATTGCAATAATAATTGCAGCTTTATGCAGAAAGAGTGCACGGGTGACATCATTATGTGAGACCAGGAACAGCATGGGCAAACAAATATAGAACACTGGAAACAAAGCTTGCATTTTCAGACTTGAAATTAAGAAAGCATTAAACCGTATTGAAGACGCGGTGTAAGTGTCTAAAAGGTTTTGCAAATTAATGCCATGGGTATTCTATTGTAGAAGCCATTTTCTTTATACAGTGGACCTTCAGATATCCGGACTCTTCAGTATCTGGACGATTTTGCATCGGAACGGAATTTTTTAATGTGATTTTGTCTTGTTTTAACTGGTAATTCAGATATCCGGACGCTTCACATATCCGGACAAATTGACTAGGAACCAAAGCGATAAATGAAGCTCCACTGTACATATTTCCATGAGTTCTAGTGTAGTTACTTGTAACTGATTCCTGATAAAATTATTTTTTACATGAACCGTATGGTTAATTCAAATTCACTTGTGATTTTTTTTCTCATTTTCTTGCAAAAGAAAAGTTTTTTTATATTGCTTAGGAGAGGGTAAATCTGCAGTCAGTTTGAGAGAAGTTCTTTACAGTTTCACCATGTTTCTATTATTTATTAAATTTGGAAAAAGTACTCCGGTGCATGAAGACATAACTGCTTATTTCAGAATCTAAAAGGCTCTGTGTGAATTAAAATGATTGAAAACTTGTCGACACTTGAACTTGTTTAGTTATTTTTAAGTTTCCCACGTCTTTATGAAAATTAAACTAGATGTATGTAAGAGTGATGATTTATTAATTGATTTCTTATTAATTAATAAATATCAAATTATTTTGTATCTTATTATACCCCCCGCTTGAAAGTGGGAGGGTATATACTCGTAGTAATCGGGATGTCCGTCCGTCCGTCTGTTACGTTTTGGGGTACCCATCTCTTATCCGCAACTCCTCTTATACCACTGAGTGAAATTTAAAGAAACTTTCACAGAATCTTTATTACATATTGCCATTGTGCATCTCCTATTTTACTTTTTGATCCGACACGTATTTTAGGTTTCCCATAGGAAAACATGGACATTGTCATTATATTCTTACCCATGACGTGAGATATGGCGGCTTCTGAATAACATTAGATACCACGAGTTATTCCTCTTTACACGTTACCGTAAAACATGGACATAATGGGAGGCGGGAGGTATCATCTAGTGAGCTTATTACTCACAGTACCTGTACTTTGTATATATTTCTATTTCAGCTTATTAGATTATAAGTTTATGGTCATTCAGGTGTAACATACAGTGCTACCCTCTTATTTGCCTTTAGGGTTATAATTAAGGTCAAGGCCATAAGTCTCATAAGTTCTTTGTTTCTATTGGGTTTTAGTATTGTGTTCTTGTGTTTTCTTGGTTTATTAAATTCCCTTCAAATGTTCATGGTTTTTCTGGTCATTCTTTGTCCAGAGTGTTTGTAGAGAGGTCCTGTTGATTTTGTGTATGACAGAATTTGACCTACTGACTGAGACTCTCTTCATCTTTGGTAAGCTTATATCTATTTACAAACTTTAACATATCTATAATATATTTTAATTAAATGTGAAATCTGAAATTCTTGCAATATTAATTTCCAAAGCACTTTTGCACAGCAAGAAAGAGATTTTGGAAGTCAGATTTTTACTTTGTTATTAGAATTGAAGCTAGTGTATTTTTATGATTCAGATAATATGTACATATGTATTTTATGATAAGAGAATTACATAAAGTCTATGATAATTTATAGTTATCATCTAGACTCCCAGCCATATACTGTATGAATTGATAAACCACGGGAGCTTGCTCATTCCCTCAGAATGGTATGCTATTGTTTTTGTGATCTATTGTTCATTAGTAAAACGCATATACACTGTAATGTCTATGAAGAGATTATAGCTTTAATAGAAATGCATATTTTGTTGTAAAGTATTTTAATTGTATGCACAAATGTAAATTCTAAGGGAGTATTGTATTATGTCAAGATGTGTAATGAATGTAAGAGTTACCTCCCTTTATGCAGTATTATGTATAATATTGAATTGTGCATTAATGTTTATATGATAATCTCGATATTGTTATTATTTATTTCTGGGCAATAGTGAATATTATTATTCCTATTACTATTAATGAACAGTGCGCACCCTGACAGACGTTTTTATTATTTACCAAACCATAACCCTGTTACATGTACATGTATCATAAATTGCATTTTTTCGTTAATGCATTACATTTTATTAAATGCATGGTGTAACAAAGTATTTCTATGTCTTAGCAATTTTTCCAAGAAGAATGAAAAATTGATGACATGTTAGAAAGATTCGAACAGAAAACACATTTTTGCTTTTAATAAATTTAGAAATTATAGTTTTTAATAAATCGATTTATAAACTTTTTAAAAAAGAAAGTAGAAATTGTGCAGTAAATTCCTTAAAACGAAATTTTAACTTATTGATGGACGTTAGTTAATCCAGAAATCGCTTTGGTATCATGAAATTGGGAAACCGTTTATGTACTTTTTTCCTTTTCTTATTAAATCCTAGTAAAGCTTCTAATATCTTTGTAATAATTGAATTGTTGCATATCTTTTGTGTAACAAGCACATGGAAATTAGATTTTTCTCACGTTATTTTTCGCTTCCGTATTGTTGTGTGTTTTTAGTTTGTTTCTGTTTGTTTGTTTTTTAAAATGATGCCTGTTTTTATCTCTCTCTCTCCAAAAAAGAATGAAAGATGTGGACTTTAAGAGAGCATCTTAACTTAATGTGAAAACCTCGTTGTAAAAAACATTATTTAGTTTGAAATAAGAGTGTTTCAAGGATTTTTTAAAAGGATTTCACTTGGCTGATTTTTATGTAGAAAGATGCTTTCTGAACGGAATAAAAACAGAACACAAGTGCATTAAAAACTTACTTTTTACACTGCAAAAAATAAATAAAAAATTTAAAAGAAATATATAAATAACATAACATGACTAACATCATTTTAGAAATATAATTCACACTAATATTTTTGAAAAATCAACTAATTTTTGTTAACGAGTTAATTGCTAATACCGCGTATACATGTAAAAAAGGAAATATATACATAATCATATTCTATGACATAAGAGGAGCAAATGCACGCAAAATAATATTAAACCGAACAAACAAACAAAATCTACTTTAAACATATTTTATTGAATAATTCAATAAGGATTGGGCAACAGGCAAGGTCTATGTACACCCTCTCCTTGTATAATAGGTCAAGATACAGTAAGTAGTAATACCTGTACATGACAATCAATAAAATTATAATGAAAAATAAAGATTCACAATATAGTATTATTTACCAATATTATGTTTCAAAAAAGACGACAACCCCCCAACATATTATTTACATACTGTTACAGCTTAAAAATAGTACAAATATTTGGAAAAAATTGTGCATTTAATATTTTGATATATTAATAGAATATTTAATATAACAGTGTTCCTAATTTAGTCTCTTAGAAGATTTAATAAATTCTTGTACATATGAAAATATGAAAAAAAAATCTGATGGGAAAACGACCTCCTCTAAAACAAAAAATACATGTTTTACTGAACTAGGTGCAAAGGCAAATAAATCTAATTTTATCGTTATGTTATTTTTTGCATGAAAAAGGAAGTGAAAATGGATTATATTTTTATCAATATATAAATATCTTTTTGAATTGCTTGAGTCTGTTCATAATCAAACCGAAATCTTACTATAGTGTTTGCACCTCATTAAGGATACATATTCGCTCTGAATAAAATACTGTAGATCACTAAATTTTCGCGACACCTTATTTTCGCGAGAGAGTCATTGACTCTTTATAAGCGAGACATAATTTTCACGAATTATTAATATTTCTCTATATAATCTTTAGGAATACTATTATACGCGAGAATGAAATTTTCGCGTGCTCACTGTCTCGCGTAATTACGCGAAAATAAAGTTCTCGCGAATAAAAAGTGATTTACAGTATTAAATTCTAAGAAAAAAACTAAACTTACAATCGCAAATAAAGCACATGGCAAAGCAGCTAACAATCAGATATGATTAGTTTATATTTTTGAGACAATCTTTGGTATTCCATTTCAAATCTCATGTTCTACAACAATCTAATAAAGTTTTAGCGAATGATTATTTCTTGGTTTCGATGAATATTATCGTATTCACGTGACAGTTGACACATAACACAATTCGCACACAAGAAGACCATACAGCAGTCTTCGCAGATACTGCCCTGTAAGAGAGGTAAGATAAAGTAGGGAATGGCTAGAGGTCTTAAAATGTTATTTATCTTAATTAATAAATTCGGCAATAAATGTAGAAGATGATGATGGATGGAAATTCCTGATTAAATTTTAAGAGAGGATTTTCAAATAGTACCAAAAATTTTATCATAAAACGCAATAATTTAAAGGAATGGGGATTCACTTATATATAAAAAATATATAAATCAATCGTACCTGAATGTTGTTCTCTGTACGGATCTTGGTACGCAGAGGAATAAGTGCCCCGTGTCCACAGAAAGCGAATGGTAGACAGCAGGACTCGCCAAGTTTGTGGGACAGGTAACATACATAACATGGACATAAAAGTTCAAGACAACCTTTAGAGAATTATCAAAAAGAAAATTAGGAAATGAAGGTAAATGATATTAACTGATAGAATATGTGTTTGTGAAACACTATGCCCCCGTATGGCAACATAGCGTAGGTTAAACTTTCTCAAATGCAATTCAAACATGTACTCAAAGTAAGGCCTTCTCACAAGAAATACAATTGTGAAATATGAAAGCCTTAGCACCACCTGTTCAATGGTTATGGCCAAGGTTAAAGTATTTTAAAAGTAGGTCAAACTCCTAAGTCAAGGTCAAAGGGTCAAAATTATTGGTTACTAAAGAAAAGACTTATCACAAGAATTACATATTTGAAGTATGAAAGCCCTATCTTTTACGTTCAAAAGTAATGGTCAAGATTAAAGTTTTTTTTAAAGTAGGTCAAACCCCTAGGCGAAGATCAAATTTAATAGTATCTTAGGAAAGGTTTTCTCATAAGGATTACATGTTTGAAGTATGAAAGCCCTAGCCTTTACAGTTAAAAAGTTATGGACAAGGTTGAAGTTCGGTCTATATACCAATGTCAAAAGGTCAAAGTTGTTGGATTTTAATGAACGGTCATCTCACAAAGAATACAGCATTTAAAGTATGAAAGTCCTAGCACAAACCGTTTAATAGTTATGGCCAAAGTAAAAGTAAGGTATTTTTTTTTAGAAAAAGTAGCTCAAATTCCAAGGTCAATTTTAGTGGTACCAAAAGAAAAATTTGAAATATGTAAACCACAGCCCCACCCACTCAAAAGTTATGGGCAAATTTAGAGTTTCTGTGGACAAACGGATAGACAGACGGACGGACAAGGCATAAACTATATACATCCGTTTACGAGGGCATGATGAAAGAAAAGGATGAACAGAACATAAAAAAATAAAGAAATGCTTTTTCTCATCATTAATAACTGCTAGGCAACAGCTAAAATACATAATTATGCCCCCGTAATGTAAGATTTTCGGGTCATACGATATAAGTGATTTTGTTTTCTTTAAAAAAATGTATGTATTGAAAAACACAAACTAGTACTCGAGTTCTGTTAATAATTATGCTTAATTCAAACATACAGTCTCCGAAATCTTCAAAACAACCACAAATGCCAGTGCTCCAGTCTCGCTTTGGAGGTCGAGTCGGTACTTGCTGTTGTTGTGTCACCACTACTGTAGTGTTACTGGAATGCTACAATATGTACATTATATCATTTTATTTTAAAGGCAAAACAATTCCTTTGTAGAAATTTAAGTACAAACTTTTGCAATTTTATCCAAACTTCTCATTTTCTAGATAATTTACACTTAGTAAGTTTACAAAAGCCGGAAGTTATATGTAGACTAAAATCAAGGTATAGTAGGGATCGACAAATACATGCAAGTGAAAAGTTATCAGTAGTTAATTAATTTTTCTTGGTATTGATTTAATTCAGGTCTGAACTGAATAGTTTTTTGCAGAAATCCAATTTACATTGATCATTAAACCGATACAAGTAACAGCTTTTTAAAAAGCTTGCCTGACTAAATCTATCAATATCTAATCTGCATGAGGAGTGATAAACCTTTTGAACAATATCTTTCTGGGTTTAAAATATGTACTTACTTTATATTTTAAGAACCTTGTGTAAATGAAATCTTTATATATTTTTTCACTTGTAGAAGAATCATCTCTACACTGCATACTAAAGGGTTGTTATTCGGGGGAGGGGTGGGGTTCATATGGAGTGATCTGCCCTTGGATCTAAATTGATTTCGAGCAACCTTGTAACACCTATTAAAAAATCTGTTACCAAATCATGCATTATCAACATTTTAAAAGATGGATATAATTAAATACACATTGTGTTGGAGTATATTTTCTCCTCTTTTCAAAGTAAACAGTATTTATGTGTGTTCATTAAATTTTTCTTCTTAAAAAAAGGAGGGGGGTGCCACTATCATATATTGAGAGTGAATAAGTAAATTCAATACTTAGACCTTTGTTGAAAGAAAAGTCCAAGATCTTGCACTTATTTCGTATTTATTGTGTGCATCTGCACAGATACATTTAATGAATCATGCATCTGGAGACCATGACTTGACCTGTTGAACTGCGTTACTTATTATTATTGGACTAGTCCATTTATGGAATAAACGCGCTTCATGAAATATGCCGGTGTAACGACGAAAAGTGACCCCCGTAGAATATTGACCAGGGGGTCAAATTTCTACGTAGAAAAATGACCCCCGGTCAATATTCTACGGGGGTCACTTTTCGTCGTTACACCGGCGTGAAGCGTCGTAGTTCATAACCTCATAAATCTTCAAAAATTAAATTCATTTCTTAAATAGATCTGCCAAGTTGAAGTGTCTTTTTTTGGTCCAATTTTGCCCCGCGAGGTATGCTGTAATTGTCAGTATTTTGCTTATAAAAGACATTTCTTTTGGAAAATCATTAAGGTTCAAGCAACATTTTATATGAGAAGACACAGGGTTTATGAACCTTAAGAGGACAAACTTTATTTAATTTCATGGAAGTAAGCACACCCATTCATACAATAGAACAATCCAAGAAGAGGCACGAAGAAAACAGTGACATTTGGCGCGAAAAGAGCGATTCATCCCTTTCGTAGAATATAAATGGACTGATCCAATAGTGTAGAAATGCAGAAAAAAGGACACACGGACATGTTGAAACAGTGAATAACATGGAATAATCTGTTCTATGCAAAAAGAGGAAAGGAAGTAAACACTCCAGCATTTTGCATCATTAAATATCATTCTTTTTTGTGAAAACTGTGTCTTTTAAGATTCAGGTATAGAATTCAAATGTAAATCAGCTTGCACAAAATCTTGCTCTCTAGGTATGATCTATTAGTTTCGGATCAGGATAATATCAATCCTTATACATTCAGAAATGTCTAAAAACTTTGAAAATGCATGGGTTTAATTGCTTTTCAAAAGAATTGATAATTTTTGTGAAACACTGCAGCGTCTTCGATTGCTTTACAAACAAATCTTGAAATAAAAGGCAGTAAAAGAAGATATCAAGTCAGATAAATCATATAAGTATTTATATAGAATGATAAAATACTTACATAACCAAATGACTGCCCAGTCCCTGGCTGACTCGTTATGGGTCCCGGTTGCCCTCCTGAAAACTGATGTCTGGGCGGATGATCTTGACCATCGTAGGGACTGACTTGGTTTTGTTTTGTTTTAGAGTCTGTTTTTCCTACTTGTTCAAAAGGATCAAAAGAATTACTACATAATTCTAATTGTAAAAAAAATTGCTTTGATTCGTTCTACAATTTTGGTGTTTGCAAGAATACTAAATCAAACAAGAGGCCCATGGGCCTTAAAGGTCACCTGAGTATTGTGTAACAACTTTCAAACAATTAAATTTGGTTCGTGTTTTAAACCAGAGGCCATGAAATTCACAATTTTGAAAGAGGCACCATTGCTTATCATAATTAAAAATACTCTGCTTACTCAATACCCAGAGGTAGAACAGAGTTACAAAGAGAAAATGTTCTTCTACTTTTTAACCAGTTGTGCACCTCACCCCAAAAGAACCACTGACACTGGGGCCACATATTTCAAAATTTTGCAAATTTTATCATAAAATGGTTGATTAATACCAAAGAGCAGGTTTCAAAGCATTAATTTATTTTCAGACTATGTACACCCCCCCCCAGGGCATAAAAATAACCATTTTGCTAGATGCACCTTTCTTCATCATAAATATATATACTTGGATCATTGGCATAAAATTCACAATTTTGGAAAAAGGCACTCTTGCTCATCATAACTATGTGCTTAGTTAGTTTATTTAATACCCAGAAGCAGAGAAGAAGATGTTCAAAGAATAAATGCATTTTGACTATATAATCTATAGAGCCCCGCCCTAACATCAGAACCCCAGACCCTGGTGCCATAAAATTCACAAATCTGGAAGAGGCACTCTTGCCCATTATAACTATGTACTTAGTTAGTTTATTCAATACCCAGAAGCAGAGAAGAAGATTTTCAAAGAATAAATGCATTTTCGCTATATAATCTATAGAGTCCCGCCCTAACAACAGAACCCCTGACCCTGGGGCCATAAAATTCATAAATCTGGAAGAGGCACTCTTGCTCATCATAACTATGTATTTATAGTTAGTTTATTTAATATCCAGAAGCAGAGAAGAAGATTTTCCCCTGACCCTGGGGCCATGAATTTCACAATTTTGGTAGAGGACTCAATGCTCATTACATTCATGCTAACAGTTTGCCTGCTTGATGTCCAGGAGTAAAGAAGAAGATTTTTAAAGAATGCAATAATTTTAGTGGTTTTGGCCCCACCCCTCGGGCCCCAGGGGGGCGGGGACCATGAAAT